CATGCGATGGGTATAAAAGAGAAAGACAGAGAGAGAGAGAGAGAGAGAGAAAGAATGTGTGTGCGCGCGCGTAAAGTTGGCTATGTAAATAAAACACATTTCTTCTTGGATAATAAAGAGTCAAACAGAATTTTTTTCGCCAATGTTTTCGACGATTGAAATTGAAAAAAAGCTATGCGACAACGACGTTATCGCGAACCGCGAACTCTCCTCTCCTCTCTCCTTTCGCCTCTCACACCTTCGATCGCGGATGGAGATAGATACCTATCGGAGCACGAAATACGAGACCGGAGCGTGCGAGCGCGCGATACGCCCGACCGCTCCTTTTGCATAATCCATACGGGTCACCCGATATTCATCTTTAAGAGGCCCCTCCTCGTTACCATGTGCGTGTTGTTTTTGACGGTACTTTTTTTTTCTCTCTCTCTCTCTGTTTTTTCCCTCGATGTATATAATACGCGATGCGTGCGACGCGCTCTATCCGTCCGGCGATCAACCGTTATGGCGATACGCGTTGCCGCTCGCTATTGATTTTTGCGTTCCCTCGCTCCGTCGATTCCCTTCCGCGCTCCTTTTACGTTTCTTACCTGGCCGGTGGCCGGTGTCCCGTCGTATATAATCCGTTACGCCAGCTCACCTTTCATCGAGTTTTTCTTTTCTCTCCCTGCGACGCGATAACGTATTCGTATCTCGCGCAAAGCTTCCCCGTGAAAACTCGCCCTATTCGGTGCAATGCGATTTTCGTATATCGGGGAGGCCATATTTCTCGGCGACGCAGCCGCCTGACCTGAGGTTCTAAGAGTGAGGTTATCCGCTAGTCAATCATGTGTATCGCCACAAGACGCGATTTTCCGTAAATGTCAGTGCTTCTATAATCGGAAATCTTGCGCAATCGCGAGTACTTTTAACGATCAGAGGCTCCTTAAGAATAGTTTAATTATTTAATGTATGAGAATAATATACTCTGAAATATTATTCCCTCCAAGTTTATGACAAAGGACTCTGTCGAATCTATCGACAAACGACAGAGCGATAAAGATAGCTGGAAAAGAGGCCGACAATAAAAAACTTCTCGGAGCTGCCGATAATGTTATTTATGATATGATTCTTACCTCCTACATGTAGAATCGATACTTTGGTTTTACTCTACTGCAAACGGGCATTAAATCAGTCAGCTGTCTGTAATTAATGCCTGACGAATAATTTGCGTTATATATTTTTAAAGATCTCCCGAGATGTTAAGAGTCGCTGTACAATTTATATTACCGCGAAAAAGAAGGTGGCTCTATATCTTTCTTTTGGAGTTGGCGTGATATTTATTTTCTTCATATTTAGCAATATTTCAATAGAAAAAGATTTGTTAATGCATTAGACCGCACAGTTCGTCCGTTAAACATACGTACGCATTTTTGGAAAAGAATCAAAATTTATTTTCACTAATGCGCAATATATAAATCACGCAGTATACGACATGTATATATATCTTCATATTATCTATAAATATATAGTATTTACCTATTTCTAATGAATCATGTCGGTGGTCATTTTAATATTCGTATGACGTTTTCCAAAATGATCTGTTATTTTCTTATTTGTGCAAGAACAATTGACTTGTTCGAATGTCTCAGCGTGCTATTTCCTTGTGACATAGTCATACATCTTATTAGCTTGCATCATTATGCGTCTGTCGTTAATTGAGGCATTTACGAAACTAGTTCAACCGATATGGCTAGAAACGGATGAATCCGATTAATTAAGTTATTGAGAATTGGACGAACGATATATTTTTATTATATTAAAACTAAAATAAAAATATATCAGTATTGTTTTAATATTCATAAATAATGTAGATTATTATTTATAAAGAATGACAGATTAGCAAAACAAAGTAAATATATATATATATATATATATATATATATGTGTGTGTGTATAAAAGAAACTTAGATAACAACTAACGTTAACGAATTAATTTCGTTTCATCATATAAATATTTTAGTATACGCATATATGTATAATTGTAATGTAAATATAATATTGTATGTTTGCAATTCTCTGCAAGAGGATTAAACTTAAATACTGCTTTTTTATCTTCAAGGCTGACCAACTCACAGAAGAACAGATCGCAGAATTTAAGGAAGCGTTTTCGCTTTTCGATAAAGACGGCGATGGTACTATAACCACCAAAGAATTGGGTACAGTCATGCGGTCCCTTGGTCAAAATCCCACAGAAGCCGAACTACAAGATATGATTAATGAAGTAGATGCAGATGGTATATATTTTTATTTAGCTTTATGGCATTTTGATGTAAATTATAATTTGCATAAAAGAGCGCGCTATTATCTTATATATAAAAAAATGATTAATATTTGTCTACTTTTATTCATGCTTATCTCTTTCTATATATTAATGAAAATATTAACTTAATATATTTATAGAAAAAAATATTAATAGTCTTTTGTTTTGTCGAAACATGGTCAAAGCAGCTTTTAAAATGCATTTTCTTTTTAATTAAAAGAAGAAAAGAAACGATTTCGATGTTTTGAAAATTTCAAAATTCTAGGTAACGGCACAATCGACTTTCCGGAGTTCTTGACCATGATGGCGCGTAAAATGAAGGACACGGATAGCGAGGAAGAGATTAGGGAGGCCTTCAGAGTGTTCGATAAAGATGGAAATGGTTTCATATCTGCGGCGGAACTCAGACACGTCATGACCAATCTGGGCGAGAAACTCACTGATGAGGAAGTAGATGAAATGATACGAGAAGCCGATATCGATGGCGACGGTCAAGTTAATTATGAAGGTTGTATTATTTAATTTATTAATAAGCATAAAAATTCATTGTCAGTGTGTCGCGCGAATGGAACTCTTGATTGTATCATTTTAAAATACGTTATAAAATAATTATCGCAATGCATGTGTAAAACCTATACATTTAATTTTAAATAAAATACCTGTATCAAGCATCTTGTATTATCACATCAGAAGCGGATAATATTCAAAGAAATATACGAATAATTTGTACAATTTTTACGCTAACGTATTTGACTTTTTGTCAACAAAACTATTTCAATTTGATAAAGTAGTTTGCGCAGTTGTACCACATTGCAATTTTTTCTGCTTCTGATGTCATAATGACGATCACATTTAGTCTTCCATCGTTATTTTGTCATATTGTTGGTATAGTTAGGCATAACATGCAACTAATGTATATGAAACTAATGAAACGTCTTTTTGTTATATTTTTCAGAATTCGTCACAATGATGACATCAAAGTGAATGCAACCTGTGTAACGGAAAAACTCGCGACTCGGAGTGGTGTTGACGTATTAAATAAATCAAGAAACAGAGAAAAACATATGTAACAAAAACAGAATCAACCAGAAAGTGATAAATCTTGTATCAGGATGCGAAGATGATCTATAAAAGCGCGAAGAGTCAACGTCCGATACCGCGTTTAAAATCATCGTTTAACGATAAGTAATACAGGGCAATTAATTGTTTAATTAAAGAGTTATACCACTTAAATCATTATCTCTCAAAACACAAATATTTACGCGTGTACACACAATACAATAACACGTCACACCGATACATACGGAACACTCAAAGAGTATATATATACACTTACATACACATTCACTCGGATGTCTTATTTCCATTGGACAAAACAAATTTGGAAGTGAGATAACGATTGCGCGCGCATGTGCACCAACGACAAAGAAAAAAGTGCATTTTCCATTTTACTCTCTTTCTCGACTGCCCCCCCTCCTCCTTCCCCTTTCCTTTTCTCTTGTTGCATCCCTCGCTATCATCTTTCCTTCTCGTTTCCATACCTTCTCCTTCATTTCCTCGAAAGTTTTTTTTTAATAAGAAAGGCATGTCGAAGATTTGTAATTTCTCTTTGCAAATAGAGAGGAAACGTGTGCGTTAGGGGACAAAGTATAAATCCGATGTAAGATACTATTAAAAGCAGCAAAGATTTATTTGCCAATCGAGAGAGAGAGAGAGAGAGAGAGAGATTTCATCTCGAGAATTCCTTCGTTCATTTTTTTAATAAACGAAATACGTGTATAGTGAATGATGACATTAGGATATGTAGCTGCTAAATAGATGATGATGTCTCTACCGTTAAAATGCATGCACATGTACAAATGTTTGTTTGTCTCTGTGAGAGAATTCGGCCTGGACCGATCGTTTTCCAGACAAAGAGAGAGAGAGAGTGAGAGAGAGAGAGAGAGAGATAAAGAGAGAGAGAGAGAATATAAATATGATGCGCTTCGGCCTCTGGGTTATTGATGACGACTTCAAATGCAAAAGCTGTGCTGGACCCCTCGATGCCTCACAAAACTAATAACTTAATTTATATAAGTAACGAGCAAGAAAATTTATAAAAAAAAGAAAATGTGAAAGAGAGAGACAAAGAAAAAAAGAGATAAGGTATAGATGAAGAAAAATTGGAAGAGGAGCCTCGAGGAGCTCAGACCTAGTGCTTTCGCTCGCGCGTGTCGCGTCTCGCAGGACGGGATGTGATCGGTCGCGCGGATGATGTCACACGGGAACACGGATAATGAGCCGCGACGCGATCGTTGGAAAGCTCCAGGATCCGAAGTCTCGACATTCCTATTTGAAAAAAAAGAAAAGTCTCTTCCTTACGCTTTCAATCAACATCATCCAAGCCTCTCGTGCCCGTGCATACGGGACTCACACGTACACGTTTACATATATAATACGTTTTACGAATTATATACGCGAGAAAAACTCTATACACACAAAAGATTATACACACAGAGTAAAAAAAAAAGAGAAACACTATAATATTATATTCACAAAGTGCGTTTTGCCTCCAGTTCCATTTTAATCTCCTATTTGTAAACTTGCCTTCCGCTCGGGAAAGCCTTACATACATGCGCGCAAAAAAAAAAGATCTTAAACAAAGAAAAAAAGAGAGAAATAACGTTGACACCACTTTTGTTGATATGTAAATCCACGGAGAAATAAAATAGGGATGGGGGATTAAAGGAAGTAAAGGCCACAGTGAGATCGGTGCATTACTTTTCTTCGCCCAGGGGTGCGTGCCAGTCTCGTTAAAAGCGGAGCCAACCAGATCGGAGAAACTGGTGTGATTTTTGTGCGATCCGTACGATATAATGTTACTTAAGAACTCGAGAGCAAAAGAACATAAATACCGTACAGCGTAAAACAACATGCGTGTCGGTGGTTCAGTCATAATATATATGTAATATATATTATTCGACTCCAGACACGCGCACGCCAAGATATCCGCTACCGCGATACGCGACGCAAGCTTACGTGCGGGAACTTTGTAATTAAGCCAATTTACGAATAAATATTATATATATATATATATATATATATAATAATTTACGAAGAAATTAAGAAAAAAAAGATGAAAGAGATAATTCCTCCACAGTCCTTTATTATTTAACATTGAAGTGAACAAAAATGAGAAGTACTTGTATTTCTGGTGACCTAGATCGCATTGATCATTAAACAAAAAAAGAAAAAAAGATTAAAAAAAAAAAGATAAAAAGACAAAATAAATGTATCCTCATTTTTAGGTCACAGCTATTTTCGATTTGTTTCCCTCATTACCAATAGATCTCTCGTTTCAGCAACTATCTCTTTTTGTGTTCGATGGCATCTAGATACTTTGCTATGAGAATATTTCATTGTCTCTCTGTGAACAGGATCCACTTTACATATCTCTGACTTTTCTCACTACCCTCGAAAAACTTTTGAGATTAGATATAGGTTACAAAGGAGAGAAAGTACGGTATTAATTGTAATTAGGGACTCACTCCATTAAACACCCGAAAAAATGGGGAAAACAGCACACATTGGGTCTATTTGTAAACTGTGGTATATTCTGTGTCCGAGGTATATTTACACACTTACACTCTTTATTAAGAATGAAAAAAGATTGTCAAAAAAGAAAAAAACGCACTCTCGTTTTGTAAAAGTGGTCGTTAGTATTCGACAGGCATCTGTATCTAAATGCTTCCAAATTCGCTTCGTTTCATCGAACACTGATACCTAGCGATTAAGTCTCTTACGTTACAAAGACTCTATATTCCAGTATTTAATATAATAGTAATTTTATATCCGTATCGCAAAATCTATTTATTGAAAGAATTTTCGCGCGCCGAGAATTAGATAGAAGAAAGAGAGAGAGAGAGAGAGAGAGAGAGCGGCGCATGGAAGCTCTTGTTGTGAACATTAACATCGAGGCAATGCCAAATCTTTATCGAATAATATTGAAGCGTTAGCTCTTCTAATATTTAATTTAGCGTCCCCTCGATCTTTGTTATTGAAATACACGTTGTTGTTCTTAAAAAAAGAAAAAGAATCGTTTATACCGTGTTTGCGGAGGTACCAAGACACATCCTGCTTCTATCGACCGTTGTATTTATTTCGATGTGTACATATACGAACGTATAAAATCGATCCGACGAAGTGAATCTTCGTACGGTTATATGCTAATTGTAATTCTTAAAACGAACAAGTTTATTGCGATATATGAACAAGGAGAGAACGTTATACGCGTTGCAAAATATAAAGAATTTTTTTCCTATCTAATCATTTCGAGCGTAGACTCGGTGGTTTCTTTTTTATTTTATTTTTTTTTTTTATTTTTTACTGGCTATAGCTATTCGCGATTTTAATAAACACCTTAATTTCTTCAGATTCCAATTTGAACATTGTTTCTATTGTATGTAAGTATATTCTCTGCCGTATATCTCTCAAAGGCGTTCTTCACTTCTTGTCGTACATAATAAAGCGGCACAGTTTGTATAAAGTGTTGATATTAAGTTAATAAATTGTTCCTATATACTTATATGGGAGCAAACTGGTGTTTATCTATAATACAAGCGATTTTATCTCCCCGAAATAAACGATAACGGCCTGATATATAGAGTATCAACGCGAATAAAACGGGAATAGAATATTTTTTTGATAATAGCAGAGAGTACGCTCTATGAAATTTCTTCTTACATTGCGAGAGAAAATTTATTAATTTACCAATGTAATTATATTGTATATGTAATAATTAGTTATATATCGCGATATTAAATTTACCAAGAGATGTCGGGTATCTTTTAACAAAGGATAAAATAGCTTTCTTTCAAAAATATTATATTTTTTATTTACTTTAAAATTTTTTATGCAACACGATAACAAAATTCGATGATTACGTGGATATGTTTCGCTAGTGTCGTCGCACCTATTCGTATTCTTTCACGATAAGCACTGTTTTGGTATAATTTTAAAGTGCAGGCACACCTCCTTCAACAAGTTTTTCAATATCCTTACTTGGTGCTCGGAGCTCTGGAAAAAGAACGTATTTTTTAATAATTCAATATACGTATCATTACGTTATTCCTTTTTTAGCATTATGAAACGAATACTCACCCTATCGAGGGTAATTGTCGGTATAAAAGATACTCGTGGTGCAAGCGAGTTCGTCATCTTTCCGTAGTTTGCCAAGAGTTCCTTCCCCCTTTCGTTGTTCGAACACTCTTTTATGGCCTCCAAGTCCACGGATATACGTTCGGCGCACTTATTCATTATCCCTATCGGGTCTATGTTATTTTCAATCATGCAAATGACAAATTGCAGTCGTATCGACGAGTCTTTGATAACGTCGATGGAACATGCGTGTACGATGTTAGCTTGACACTCGATAGGTCCATGTTGGCACGAGAATTGATATCCATCGTTTGTCTTCATCGTCTGTATGCACGTGAAAAATAAAAGGCGCAATTTTACAAAAAAATAAAAACCTTGCCTGCTCAACTTGTTTATTTGATTATCGCTAATGTGTGTAATCGCAAACAAGAGAGAATATATAAGGGAGTAAGGAAAAATGAGGCAATACAAGATGATTCAAAAGAAACAAAATGACTGCTTCATGAATATAAAAGATTCAAATATCCCGATACACCGAGTTTACGAGTATCTTGCTATTTTTCCTCTGCTCGAGGAAGACTAGAAAAAATTAAATTTATGTTAGTCACATCGACTTACCGTAGCCTTTCCGTACGGTACCAATTCGACTTCAATATTCGTCGAAAGTGTCCGATACGTTGGTCCTAATTGTTTCAAAATAAAACTACGCGAATCCGGGCATAATGCTTCGTAATACACGGCCACGTGTACTTTTTGTCGAGTCAGATCGTCCTTTTGGCTCAACGGTGTCACCGCTTGATCCATCTGAAGCTCTACGTGCATTTTCGCAACGTATCCAAAAGATTAAAGATATCCTCGTTAAATATTAATAAATGACGAACGTGACATTGTAACAATATTAAAGTGTTGGTCTAACATTTTCATTTTAATTTTCAATAATAAAATATGAATGAGAGACACAAATATATAAATTATATACACGATATTTTCAAAATATTTATAATTTTTCCTAACTGATAGTTTTTACCATATTTTGAGTAAATAATAAGATGTTATTTATAGATATTGTTCATTTAGGTTTCTTTCAATAATAATTTTCAGATAATCTCTAATGCAGGAAGTCGCAAATTTGTAACTGACATATATATGTACTTCATTATCATGAATGGTGTTAATCATCGCATATATCTAACTTTTTATAGCATTATATTTTTATTATATACCAATTTTTGTTCTTCTCTCTCTCTTTTTTTTTTTTTTCTTTCGATATAATTCTCGTATACAATTAACCCGGACAAATTCTAAAATTCGAAACTAGCAGTTGTAATTTAACAGATGTCAATTCATTAAAAATAATTCAAATCTTAATAGATTAATGCATTGAATATAGATTGGGCCATATGTCAAACATCTCGTCATACGCGATGCATTCGTCAAAAAAGTTCAAATACGTAAACTTAAAAATAAAAAAAAAGTATAATTGACAATTTTATAATTAAATTACGACATAATTATCTCCATATATATCGAAAAGATAAAATGGAGCCATTACAATCACCAAATTACAATTATCGTATTTGAATAACAATCTGTACAACGAAATGCTTTTTTAGGAGATATAATCAATTTAAAACTAATAACTTTTTTTAATATGATCAGGATTAATACGCTATTATTATTTTCTGTTATGAGTATCGCTGTCAAAGGCGATATGTAACATGAAACGTGTCATGAGAGAGGTATACGAAGACGTGCGCGGTCGTGACGACAGGTGCAGTGCGGCATGCATACATGGGGCGTTTGCATGTGCAGAGTTCTTTACCTTGCTCGGAGACGGCAGCATCGCCTTCCAGGAACGCCAACCAAATCTTCGAGGTCTGCCAAAGCAATAAACCGATGACGAGAACGATGACAAGTCGCCATCGGAAGCTGCCTAACCCCATCGTCCCGACTGTTATCGCGAGTCGCGGCTCGCGGAAAGAAGCGCGCGCGACTCTCACTCGCGCGGCGGTCTCGCTCGTTACAGCTGACGCAACGAGACCTAATTCCTAGTGTCAAACTCACCGCCAGCGGCGACGTTGCGTCGCGGCACGTACGCAAACGGTCGGATCGATGGGAATTGTGAGGTTCCACGGCATGTTACGTTTTTTTAATACGATTATGGTGTCCAACTAATTTTATTTATTTTTCTTTCTTTTTTTATCATGCACAATTGCACATGGCGCGAAAAGTCTGTTCTTTCGAATGACGATTTCTTTCGATACTTTTCTCTTTGCACTTATCTCGTTTTGAATATAACAAAGAACAGAGCTATATCTCACCTTGCGTTCATTTTCGAAAATATGCGCGTAAAAGCCCGTACTCAATACTCTACTAATAAGACGGTCGGCATGAAGCACTATATTGTTTGATAGGTTTATGCTGAACGTTTAATTGGTCCAGATATATATAAATGTATGTACGTTCATACGGATTTCTCATTGATTCTTTCTCGATATGCGCATAATCGCTATAATCGTGTCAATGACAAAGATAGTTGTTACACAAATAGGTTGCTTATAAGAGTACGTTAAAAATTCGTATACACTCTTTATATAGGTATGTTTATAATTTTATTTTTTTTTAATTATTTATTTTTTTTTTTTTTAATTAATTCTGTAACAAATTTAAGAAAAGAAAAAAGAACTATATTCCCACATGTTCTAGCTCTGCGAGAAACGTCCTGCACTTGTTCTTGAGCACTTTAACAGCTTCCGTGAACAAAACAGCCGAGGGTAGTGTCCCCACAGATTCTATATTAACTAAAAATTAGATTTTTTTGTATAACAAATGTTTTTATAATTATTTTATATGATTCACCAGTGCGATGCGCAACATACACATATGCACATACTCAACCATAACTTAAATTCTAATATTGGTCCTTCTTTTTCGATCAAGGATTTTTAAACTACTCATACTTACAGATAAAATGATCCGATATTCGACTCATTTCCACGCAATCCTTCAATTGTTCGTAACGATAGACATTTCTGGCACAAGTATCGTAACGGGCGTCCTTCACGCGCGCTTCACGATATTTCTGTCCCGAACTCGTTTCTTTCTCTACCACATCTATCACAGCAGGGCTAAAACAGCTTTGCAGAAGATCCGCATCCTCGTTTCTCACAGGCTTAGTCAACTCGATAACGGGCATAAGACGATATCGCGCGGGGGCTGTAAACACATTTTTATTCTTATAACTGATACGAGTAACTAAGACAAAATTTAACTCAATAATTTAAAAATTTAATTTTTGCGTTTTTGCAATATCACTTAGGCATGTATTAGAGCACATCTATGATAAAAACACGAAAAGCGTTTCAATTTGCAAAACTATTACATACCTACAGGAGAAAATTTGGCGTGATCTTTGCCAATGCCTTTAATCGCATACATAAATGCGTGGATCTCGTGACCAGGACGCATTTTACATATTAATATATCATTTTCTAGCACACTAAACTGTTCTGCCGCATGTGGAAACATGTCCCCTTGTCGGCCTATTGGTACCCATTTGATATCCTTACTATAAACTATAAAAAACATATTACAAGCTGATTCATATAGATTCTTCCATATTATAATATATCATTGTTGTATAATATAAATGTTTAGAAACACGTGCATATTATACATAATGTTAGTATATAAAAATCTAAAATTAAATACCCTTGCTGTTTCTATACATATCTTCTGAAAGACGAGAATATTTTGGCGCTTGTGGATTCACAGTGCATGTAACTTTCAGTTCATATTTTAGAGTATCTTGATCGCTGACCTCGTCATCCTTCCTTCCGCTCGGAGGATATTCGAATAACCGAGGATCTGCCCGAAGGGGTATGAGACCCAGTCTTGAAAGCGAAATATATTTTTAATTGTTATATGCAAACAGTTTTTATAAAGATATAAAAATTATGAAAAGAGATTCCATTAGAATATTCATCTTCTCTCACCTATGCGCAAGTACTTCGTCCTGTAGAAGACTAGTATTATTTATTATAAAGACTTTATCGATAGCCATACTTGGCACTTCGCTTATAAGTATCCTACGAAATGCATTGGCTAATGAAGTGTCGCAACCAATTATATCGAATTCTAGCTCTTTATCCTCTTCTTGTATTATCTCGATCCTCAATTTCTAAGATATAAGAAATGTATTTTAATTTATAGGCATATTGATGCAAACACATTGTTCCAATTATAACGGCATTTTACCTTTATAAATTTTTCTAGCGCCGTTGATTTGTTCGATGTCTCGCGCGAATATTCCTTGAACTGAATTGAAATAAAAAATTAAAATTGATGTATATTCAACAAATATTGAAATTATTATACAACAAATATTGATATTATGTTTTCGTACATACAAATATAAGACAAAATGCTTTTAATGATTCTAATCAAACTTACAGCTTCGTACTCGCGCATTACCCATCGTGGTTCCCCCGATTTCTTTTCCATTGCTCAATGTTTTTATATTTTAACAAAACACCAAATATTGAAAAATTTCTCCGTCTTCTACACGCCGTTTTGCTAAGTTAAAAACACGTTGTTATTTTTAATCACATGGGTAAAAACCATAGACTTTAAACAGATAGAAACCTGAGAGGGGCCACGCCGCCGTTTTTCCTGTAACGCTTTCTCTAGCCGGTACAGTGGCGCTAACTGGATCCATTTTAAAGCCGGCGGAACTACGTGGCCGGATCCACTTTTCGGTGCCATGGTAAAACGATCGATTGGTGCATGTCCGTGCTAGATCCACAATTATGGATCTAGCACGGACATGCACCAATCGATCGTTTTACCATGGCACCGAAAAGTGGATCCGGCCACGTAGTTCCGCCGGCTCTAAAATGGATCCAATTAGCGCCACTGTACCGGCTAGAGAAAGCATTACAGGAAAAACGGCGGCGTGGCCCCTCTCAGGTTTCTCTCTGGATAGCGTTGACATAAATTTTAACAATACGCAGTAGTCCAAGAGAAAGTGTTCATCACTCTATCACTTTGAAAACTAAATTTTGAATCCAAATTTTCTAAGATTTATTTTCCTTTTTTAATATTTATTTGTATTTATTAATATTTATTTATTATTAAAAAAATAATTTATAATATTTAAACGTATGATATATTCACATGTACGATATATCCGATTTATGTCGCGTTTGATGCCATATTTTAATCGCATAAATCTTATCAAACCATTATAATTATTTTCAAATCGATAAAATACAAAATAAAAGTTTTAGTTTTTATTTTATGTTTATGTATGGGCCTCTGGTGGCTCAGGGAGTAGCGCGCCTGACTCACATCCCAGAGATCTCGGGTTCGATTCCCAACTCGACCCTGGCCTGCGCTTTCCTATTTTTCCTTTCCGACATGCACCAATCGATCGCTTTACCATGGCACCGAAAAGTGGGATCCGGCCACGTAGTTCCGCCGGCTCTAAAATGGATCCAGTTAGCGCCACTGTACCGGCTAGAGAAAGCGTTACAGGAAAAACGGCGGCGTGGCCCCTCTCAGGTTTCTCTCTGCTTTAAACATCTCTGATAAAAACCAGTGTTACTAGACAATTCCCCTTTTTCGCGCATGCACGTCGACTGTGGGCCAATTTCACCAAGTCCGGTTATGCTGTGATCCGATTCCCCACCCGGGTGCACCCCGATATTATAGTATATGTGACGTATACTATAATATCGGGTGCACTCGGGTGGGGAATCGGAACACAGCCTTATGCCCGTATCAGACTACGCATTGAAAATTGAAGATTGAAGATTAAAGATTGAAATTTGAATAATCAGAACAAAAGGGACTAAAATTTCTTTGTCCTGATTGGTCAAATTTCAATCTTCGATCTTCAATCTCAATCTTCAATGCGTAGTCTGATACGGGCTCTAGATGAACCGACGGTTAAAATTAGCAGGGTTTCAATTGAAATGATATGAATGCTTGGTTTTCCTTCACTTCTATTTTCTGTTAGCCACCCTGCTAATTTAAACCGTCAGTTCATCTAACCGGACTTGGTGAAATTGGCCGCGTTCAGCAGAGAAATCCGCTTAGTAGCAATCAAATGTGATTGGTTCTTACTTTTAGGCCGGTATTCATAGTCCGTTCTTATATTCAAGATCGTCTTAAGTACGATCTTAAGATACTATGCGGCCATTTCATTGGTTGAATGGGATCTTAAGACGACCCAAGACCACACTTAAGACGATCTTGAATATAAGAACGGACTATGAATACCGGCCATAGACATAGGCTGCGGTCCGAAATACGCTCACAGCGCTATAAGCGCGCTGCCAGCTATAGTGCACGTGACGTAAACTATAGATTTTCAGTACTATGAGCGCTGTGAGCGTATTTCGGACCGCAGCCTTGGTA